TTCTCCCCAACAATGTCAACTTGTGGAAGACGAAGAAGCATGGTTCATCTTTACTTTCCTTAGCTTCACTTCAATCAGGTAAGAAAAAAGCTAAAAAGTTTACCGACAACTCATTGATATAATACAATTCTGGGGTTCAAAGTCGCCCGTTATAGTACACTGTCACTGGAACCTTGATTAGGTATAGAAAACAGGAAGAGAGCTATCATTCGTTAATTGGTCTGAGCATGAACCGAAGAAGCATTTCCCTCGTGTTTCAACCATGCATTTGAGCTTGAGGTCCTCGGTACACCGTTTCAAGACTCGAATTCATCCATACTGTGACTTCGTCTGTCTTGGTGGGAACTAAATCATGTTTAGGTGATTACTTTAACTTTGGTACCTTCAGCGAGGAGAAGTAGCAAGTAAGCGTGCTTCTTCAGCGAGATGCTACGGAGTAAAATGTTTACTTCTTTCCCAAAATTCATGAAAAAGAGGAGCCACTCTAGTTTATTGTGGGTTTCGTGATACATACGAAAGCAAGACTTGCTGATGACCATGCACAGTAGATCTCTTGCTCTTGACATCGAATGACTTCGACTATCTGGTAGGTGGGGAATTGATGGAGTAGGAGGATTTGTCTTTAATTTCTGAGTGAATCTTTCTGTGAATGGGGTATCATAGACGTTAAAGTTGCTATTCTATCTGCATCCAGAGATCATAGTGTGTTTGTTATCATGACTATTATGGCAGCAGATTCTGGACAAATTATGCGCATCGAGGTTACCTTGTCAACACAATCAATCTGCAAAACCAAATCAAAGAGATTTTGTTAAATTTATTTTAAGGTTATTTCCTAGCTCCGATTACGTCATTCGAAAAAGAAGAAATCTCATTACGGATTCATCAGAGTTATAGGCTGAGGACTTTTACACTCAAATTCTGTCATAACTACAAGGCCGTCTCCCTTCGGTTGCTATGGCGACCAAGTATCTTACCAGTCGCCCTCAACTTTTCACATCCAATTATCATCCTCTATTCTACGAATCATAGGGAATTTATTTTACAAACGTGACTTTCTTTCGAAATGTGAGTAAAAAGTAGATCTATTTTGCTGTTATGAAGAAGTAAAATGGAGAAATATGTAAATTTTTCGCTTATCCGTAACCGTTGGAGGAGTTATTGCAGATGCAAAGCTAAGTGACACGCGTTGAGACAAGACGATAGCCAAGATTCCTCCCGGTGCGACTGTACAGGCAAAAAATAAGTGATTACAGCCTCCGTGTACCCTGGGACGTAGTTGCTAAAGCTTCATATAATGTAAATCAGAATTATTTCGCTCATCTGAGTCGGATCCTACAATCCTGTCTACACATACTCTTTAGTTCAGGCTATAGTTTACATTACGTCTGGGCTAAGCTGTTACCAGCGCCAACACGAGAGACTTCTGTTCGATGTCGTAACACAACAGCAGCTCCTTTCGGACGGCGTCCCACAACTCAACTCTGACACTGCCTCTCTTCACGATCCAAACAACGGGTATCATTCGGTCGGAAGGTCTGCTCGACATCACTGCACCTGAGGCTGTTGCGGCGTTGGGGGTATATTTGCTAAACAGGCTAACTGACATTTTGGCTTCCTCCATCAGCAGGATTGAGTCTATCGGACTCTTGAAGACGTTGAACTTGTCCTGACGGTCAAGATTGCTGATGGAGACAAAGGAAAATATTTTGGCACAACAATTTAGTGAAAATCGAGCATGTCGTCAGAGCATTTGCAGTAGCTTATTCTAAAGAATACGCTCTGAAATAACGGTTGCGAACAGATTAACCAAAATACTGGCATACCTTTCATTTCGGCTGATAAGGTGAGTGGTAGGGATTCGTAAATTGACGGTTGCTTTGGACTTGTGATGTTTGGATTGCGCGAAAAAGGCCTCGGTTTAACGTCCTGCGAGCCCAAATCAATCTGTGCTGAGCCTTCCTCCGTCATGAGACGAACTATCACCAGAAAATACTAAACCAAAAAAGGTTTCCAGCTGAAATTCTACCCACTTTTATACCGAAATTTGCCATATGAATAAGGCATGCTATGCTTTGAAATGTATTCATTCAATTTCGTAAAGGTGCTAAAAGACTGATAGTTTAATTTGTCACCACAGCCCTGTTTACCGAGATATATTCTCATTCAGAATGAACTAGACTAGTTTCAGCAGCACCGCCAGCGGGACTCGAACAAGGGTTGTGGTAGTGCAGTGTATAATCTCGACCACCACAAGTGCCCTTGGATCACAGGGCAGATGAGAATTTCTAGGAAGCATAACCATTTTTATATATCACATTCTGTGGTGGGATTGTTGTGTTTGCTATTACAATAGACTACATTACTAAATTTTCGTTTATAAGTAGGTTTCGAGAATATCGGTAGATCATATAAGTGAGATGTACTTATAAAATGGATATATTCCAGACTAAAACTGAGTACTTCGGTCAATTGTTATAGCTGCATCAACAATCCCACCACAGGATGTGATATGGGAAAATGCACAGCCTTCCTTGAAATTCACATATACCCTCTGCTCTGACCGAAGGACACTCGTAGTAGTCTGGAGTAGTGTTTAATGTGTCGAGATTATACGCTGCATTAACACAAGACGAATTCGACTCCCGTTAGGGGTGCTGATGCGACCAATGCAGGCGAGCTCCAAGTTGTAGTACAACCTGGATGGGAATATCTTTAGGCAAAGGAAGGCTACGTGAATTTAATGGAAACTTAAGGTCTAATCATATTCTTGTAGGAAAATTCAGCCACTAAACCTCTTACCGCATTAAACGAAATAGAGTAAATACATCTCATGCTAAAGCATCATGTCATTGTGGGCAAACTCGACTATTAATCCTTGATTAACCTTAAGCGACCTAGGCCGGTTCAAGCCCAGATGCATGGGGAAAAAGACAAAAAAGCTCGTCCAGGGCTAGTCCCTATCCTAAAACTTTAAGATTAGTTGTCGGCTGAGGAAGGCGGAAAGAGTGAGTGCCGAGAATGCATGTGTGTGCAAGCAATATTCGACTGTGAACTTACTACATGTCAAAAATGTGAATAGAATTGCCGCTAGCACACCACAGGTTACGTCCGATGCTGAGGAGGCATGAGATGGCTGTGTAACTGAGGCGGATGGAGAAGAAAACGATGTTTTCTGTAGATTCTGCAGTAGCGTTCTGGTCAGTAGAGGTGGGAAATTGCAAATTTTTGGCGAGTGTGAGAAAAGATGGTATCACAGAATAAAACAAGGGAAGAATAATGGTGAAATTTCATGTGAGACTTCAAAAGGATACATTCAATTTCGAAGAAAAAGTTGGTAGGCAGGAATTCGTGATGTGGTTTCATCGGAACCCGAAGGAGGATTGCCGCATAGGGAAGGCTGATGAATTGTGCAAAGAAGGTCTCGGCTCATCGTCCTGCGACCCCGATAAAACTGTGCTAAGCTTTCGTCTGTACTGTAACAGACATCATCAGAGCAGGTATCCATAGTTCACGAAATAGAGCAAAAATATACCAAACCAAGAGGAAATGTAGCCGGCTGCAACCCTAGTCACCTTTTTACACTCTTAACATCCCATGTTTTGCTTGCCTACTTCAACCTCACTCTACATGCTTGCAAATGAATGAATTTACTTACATACGCGGCAATCCTCCTACCTTTTCCAAAGAGCCCACATCACGAATTCCTTCCAATCAACTTTTCATTCGAAATGGAAATTTATGTCACAATATATGACTAATGAATTCTTCGAAATACAGTTTTTCTACACACACTTTTGACATTTTCATTATATGATATCATATTATTTTTATGATTAAACTGTGTATTTGTTGGATAGACTTACATTTCGTATAAAGGGAAATGATGAAGACATTCCAAGGTCGATCTCATCAGAAGATGACGACTGAATCTGACTGCATTGCAGCCGTTTGGCTTTAATACGACGTTAAGGTTGACGCAGTCAAAGTGACATCTTCCCACATTTCGGGTGAAAAAAAGGTTAAGCTTTCGTCTAGCATATGATGTAGATCATCATAGCTACAACTCATTCTTGTAAAAGTTACAATTTAAAAAACAATAACGTTGTTTGAACTTGTTTTCACAACTTTGTCATATTGGCAGGAGGACCTAGAGGAAGCGTCAGCTCTACTCATATCATTGTGGGAAAATTCTACTACCAGTCCTTCATCACATTAAACGAAATAGTGTAAATACCTCTTATATTATTCCTTGTGTTATCTCTGGAGGCTCTCCAGAGTATGTATCAGAGCTTGAATAGCTCCTTGAACAGGAATGTTTGTGTACATAAACACAACAACAAAACTTACTAGCCAATCCTCTCCTGAAATTGTCTTCTGATCTAGCCATTTCACAATATCGTACGAATTTTTAACTGAATATAGACAATAATTGGAAGAGTTTCTTAATTTTATGCATAAAAAGCGTGAGATTTTATGCATCACGCTTCCTTAATTATTTAGAATTAATCTTAGAGGGACATCCTCCTTGTGAACTTTAGGGAGACCGTGAGCCGTGGATCTTAAGTCTTTCTGTTGGATCTATTAGTAAAGGCATATACGTGTCATTGTCATATAAATAAACTAGCATTTTTTTTACATAACTCGATTTATCCTAGTCATAACGACTAGGCTAAAGGATGCCCTCAAGGTATGCGTAA